CTGTTGAAAAAATTTAAAGGGTCTGGTAACTTGGATGTAAAAGAATTATATCTTTATTGTCATCAACTTCAGAGATTAAACATTTTCTTTTATTGTAAAGGTAGGCAACAAACCACAATATTATTAGCAGAACCTATGACTCTGTAGCATAGAAACTGTCATATTCTATTTACAGGTGTTGCAAATACATCAAAATTTCTTCTACATTTATTACTACTTCAAAATTATATCTCTTACATCCACCATTATATATTATTTAGTGCCCTAATAAAGAAGCAAATTCATTTCTTTTTGAAAATGTTGCCTTTATTTTTATTATTCTAGTTCAATTTTTTCATTTTAATGATTCTAGTTAAATTTTTTTCCTTTTATTTGTTTCTTTGTAATTTGTTTGCTTTGACATTATGCATTTGTTACACATTTTAAAACATTTGGGGTTCTACGGGCACACAGATTTCCAAAGGATTTTATAACACAAAAAGTGCTCAGAAAGCCTAACCTAGAGAAATTCTCCCAGAGGAAACCAGGAGATATCTACAAAGAAATTCAAATATCTTTTTCCATAATAGTCAAATGGACACATAAAAAACAATTAAGGTATATTCATATAACAGAGAGGTGAATTAATTACTGCAACTCATTAATGTGGGTGATTTTCAAAATCCTAAAGTTAAAGCTAAGAACCACATAACTAATAAAAAGCAGTCTGATTCCATTTAAAAATCAATCTAAAAGGTAAAACAAAGCAACATATTGTTTTAAACTTATATACAAATATAGTTAAATTTTAAAGAAAATCAATGTAATAATTAAACACAAAATTCAGGATCATGATTAGTTGAGGGAGATGAGAGAGATAGTTCTACACTTCATATGAAACCAGAGAAGACCTCCTATAGCCAAAACAAACTTAAGCAAAAACAACAAATTGGAGGCATCAATTTACCAGACTTCAAGCTATACTACGAGGCTATAGTAACCAAAACAACAAACAGCACCTTAGTGGCACAAGAAAAGAGACATAGACCAATGGATCAGAACAGAGAACCTATATACAAAACCATCCTCATATTGCCATCTAGTCTTTGACAAAGCAGACGAAAATACACTGGGGAAAAAATTCCTATTCAATAAATGGAGCTGGGAAAATTGGATAGCCACATGTAGAAGACTGAAAAAAGATCAGCACCTCTCACCACTTAGAAAAAGCAACTTATGATGGATAACAAACTTAAACCTAAGGCATAAAACTATAAGGATTCTAGAAGAAATGGAAAAACTCTTATAGACATTGGCCTAGGGAAAGAATTTATAAAGAAGACCCAAAAGGCAATCACAGCAACAACAAGAATAAATAAATGGGACCTACTCAAATTAAAAAGCTTCTGCACAGCCAAGGACATAATCATTAGAGCAAATAGACAACCTACAGAAAGGGAGAAAATATTTGAATATTATATATCTGATAAAAGGCTAATAACTACAATATATAAAGAACTCAAGCAAAACAACAAGAAAAAAGCAAACAACCCTATTGAAAAGTGGGCAGAAGACATGAACAGAAACTTTTCAAAAGAAGAAAGACTAATGGCCAATAAACATATGAAAAAATGTTCAACATCTCTAATCATCAGGGAAATGCATATCAAAACCACAATGAGATTTCCCTTAACCAACTCCAGTGAGAATGGCTTTATCAAAAAGTTCCAAAACAACAAATGCTGGCATGGATGCAGAAAGATAGGGATACTCATACACTGTTGGTGGGACTGCAAACTAGTATAACCTCTGTGGAAAGTAATATGGCGATAACTCAAAGAACTAAAAGTAGAACTACCATTTGATCCAGCAATCCCACTACTGTGTATTTACTCAGAGAAAAAAACGACATTCCACAAAAAAGACATCTGTACTCAAATATTTATAGTAGCATAATTCACAATTGCAAAAATGTGGAAACAACCCAAGTGCCCATCAACACATGAGTGGATTAATAAAATGTGGTATGCGTATACCATGGAGTACTACTCAGCCATTAAAAAAACTGGTGAAGTAATACCTCTTCTATTAACCTCGATGAAACTGGAGACCATTCTTCTAAGTGAAGTATCACAAGAATGGAAAAACAAACACCATATATACCCACCACTAAATTAGAACCAATCAATCAACACTTATGTGAACATACCAAAATAAGATTCATTAAAAATCAAGCAGGTGTCAGGGGAGGGAATGAATAAATTGTAATGGCTACAGTGCACACTATTTGGATGATGGGCACACTTATAACTTTGACTCAAATGGTACAAAAGCAATTTATGTAACCAAAACATTTGTGCCCCCATAATATTCTGAAATAAAAAATAATAAATTTTTAAAAATAAAAATAAATGGTAAATTGGATGAGTTTTACAATCTGGCTTTGAACCCCAATTGTGCCACTTTTCAGCAATAAACCTAAGAAAAAATTCTATCCCTCTGAACTTCACCTTTCTCATTTATGAAATGGAGGGAAAGCTTAACTTACAGAATTTTGAGGATAATTAAAACCTGTGAGAAAGTGAATAGGAGAACATCTTAGGCACATACCACTTAATAATGTTTATCCATCCCTAAGTTTTAGCCATGAATTTTGCTCCTCACTGTATTTTCCTCTTAAAGATTCTCTTGGAAGTTCCATCCTTCTGCTGGATGCATGCAGGCAATAATGAGACTCTAAAGTATGCCAAAGCCACAGGGTAATAGAAGATTGGGTCCTTTATTCACCATATATAGAAGAGCTGCATGCCAAGTAGAAAAACCCACTTTGGATGCTTATAAAAAAATAAAATCCTACAGCGTCTGAGTCATAATACATTCTAATTTTGTTTTGCAAGAGCAATTTAGTCTATCCTGATTATTGAAACATACTACCAAATACTGAGTCCTGTAGCCTCCTTCCCTACTCAGGGATTTACCATGCATTTACCACACAGACAGGATACTGGAAATTTCCTCTCAGGGGAAACTGACTAGAGAAAGAGAAATAACTTGCAGATAATAACAGTTGGTGGGGGAGGGAGGGGTCTCAATGAAATAGCCAGGTCGGATCACCCTAGAGTGAGGCTCACTACTTGACAAGACCCAACCCATGCTCATAGAGCTTTTAACACTTTTTTATCTCACTCCAAAATATACTATTTTTAATGTAAACATTATTAGACATAGGAAGGGAACTGTATATGGGGGGAGTGGTGTGAACAGCCCAAAATCCTCATCTTACAAGTCAATAGACAGCAATCTATGTTACCTCCCTCCAGCACTTTCTATTCTCTGTATCCTACTATATTTTTCTTCAAACTATTTATTAATGCCTTCATACCATTTATTAATTTTCTATTAATTTTTTTACTAGTTTCCTTCAGCCTGTACTTTCCAAGAGGACAAAAACTTTGTCTTTTGCTTAATTCTGTACCCCAGTTTCTGGAAAAGTGCCTGGTGTACAGAAAAAAATTAGTAAATATTGGAAGAATGAGGAAATTAATTGTGAATTTCAGAGTAAAAAAAGTCTAAGAAAATAAATATAACCACATAGATCCAGCCCTGACACAAATGATTTGTTTAGTCCTGCATGGTTACAAATGGATGGGTCTCTTCTACAAAATCTGATGTACCTCGCCTGGAATTATAATTTTAAAAATCCTCTCTTCCTCTGAATGGATGACTCAAAAGCCCCTGCACAAGGCACAACCAATACAACAACAGGTGATAGTCCTGTAATAATCCCCTAGTCCTAATAATGTAAGCAATAGTACAATAATGTGTGCAATAATGTAGTTATGAGCAAGAATAATGTAAACAATATAATGTAGGTTAATGTAAATAAATAATGTAACCAATTAACTAGTTTTAATGCAAGGATTATTAAATGTTGGAAGGAAAAAGAATTTGGGGGAGTGGTATAAAAGACACATAAATCTTCATCTTCCATAGAAGGAATCCATAGATACTATCCATAACTGAAAAATCAAGAAATAGCAGAAAAGGCTGTCTCAAAATAATGAAACGGCCATTGGAAGAACGAGCTTGATGACACCTGTAAGGCGGATCGTTTGAGGTCTGGAGTTGGAGACCAGCCTGAGCAAGAGCGAGACCCCATCTCTACTAAAAATGGAAAGAAATTAGGAGGACAACTTAAAAAAAAAATGTTTAAAAATGATTAGCCGGGCATGGTGGCGCATGCCTGTAGTCCCAGCTACTCGGGAGGCTGAGGCAGAAGGATTGCTTGAGCCCAGGAGTTTGAGGTTGCTGTGTGCTGGGCTGACGCCACGGCACTCTAGCCCTAGCGACAAAGCGAGACCCTGTCTCAAAAAAGAAAAAAGAAAAAAAGAAACAGCTTGAAATGGTGGAGGTGGTTATTATTCTGAGGACCAATACTGAGGATTGGGAGAACTAGATCAGAGGGCTGCTGTTTTGCTTTTGAGGTTTAGAGGAACATGCAGAGTCCCCGCACTTTCACGAATTCTACCCAGCTGGACATTGCAGCGGGTGAGCTGGTGGGCGCGGAAAGGTGTAGCAGGACCGATCTCGGCACGCAGCTCATTCTATCGTCACCTGACACTGGGGCAAGAACGTTTGAGGAAACACAGGCGGACCGAGCGCCAGCGCCAAACACACAGACACCAGGCTGACTGGCCCCGCGCGAGGCGACGCGCCTCCCGGCCAGGGGTGGAGCCCACCCCGCCGACCCCGCCCCGGCCCGCTCCACAGTCGCCGCTCGCTTCCGAACGGGAAGCCCTGAGAGGAGAGTCTCAGAAAGGAAGCGGCTGGCGTCTTCCTCAGCGTTGCAAGCCGCGCCATGCTCGCCCTCCGGAGCGGCCTGGCTCGGGCGCTGGCGGCGCGGATGCTCGCGCCCCAGGTACGGGCCACGGGGGCGCACCCGCCCACTACCTGGGGCAGGGGCAGGGGCAGGGGCAGGGGCAGGGGCAGGGGCAGGGCGGGTGTCCGCAGGAAGCGCCGCGAGCCCAGACCTGAAGCATCCGCGGGGCCGCCCGGTTCTCGAGGGAGCCTCAGAGTCCTGAGGCGGGGACCCCGGGACGCGCGTGAGAAGGGCACTGTCAAGGCAAGGGTGCCCTGCCGAGGTCGCCTCCTGACCGCTCGCGGGCAGCCACGGACAGAGGGCTTTTCTGGCCTGGATGCCGGGCGGCCTCAGGCCACCCCTGAAGCGGTTTTGCAGCCCTGCGCCGTCGCGGCTGCCGCTCACCGAGCGCTGGCCACGTTGCCGCCTGGCGCAGTCCCGGCTCCTGTTGATTTGTGGCGTTACAGGCCACCGCCTCCTCCAGATTTCAGGTTCAACAGGGGAAAGGCCAACCTGCCGCTTGTAGCAGAACCGGCCTTCTCGCTTTGAAACGAAATACACAACTTGCCAGCTTTTTCTGGAGAAACTTGAGGCGGCGGCCCAGGGTCCCGGACCCTGCCCAGTCACCCTGCCCAGTCACCGAGCCTTGTCCGTCCGGTTGGTCCCCAAGCCAGGCAGGGTCCCGAGCCCTGGAGCCAACATGATAAACTCTCTTAACCTTCGATGATAAATGTACAAAACAGCTTACGATTCAGCCTTACCTGTCGCACATTGGCCTATTGATTTCTTTTCTTTGCGGTGTTTTGGCCTTTACTCCTTTCTCAAGGGAAAGGATGGGAAGGGGGTTAACCCATTCCAGAGGCAGACTTTCTGGTGAACACTAAAGAAGACAGTAATGTCCATTCACCCTGGATTAACAATGCAGTCTTTATCCTTCTGATTCTCTCTCCAGTGGGGCAGGGTCAAGCATTATCTCCTTACAGCGTTATTCTGAACTTTTAAATGTCTACCAGTTGTTCTAAGTGAATTGGAAGTCGTTGCTGGTAAGAATGAGACCTAAGTTGGAGGTAAGGGCGCCATGTGAAGCACTCATGATTTCTGTCCCAGCCCAGTTGCAGTCTTTCTGGGACAAAAATCTTTACCGCCCCCCACCCAGCCAGCCACTTGTCCCTTACTGCTGGTTCCTTACTGTATATTATTCCTAATAATACTGTATATTATTATTATATATTATAATATATAATAAAAATGTGTGCCTTTGGCCAAATAATTTGTCCTCCAAATACAAATTAATCGTATCAACCTGAAATGTAATTGTTACAAATGCCCCTTAGGCCCATTTTCTGATTTATGATATTTCTTAAACTATGGATACTAGGCAGTTTATTCTAATTGCATTCTGTTATTAGAGTTTGGTTTAAAAGCACAGAAAGAATGTCCGCTAACAACAGGGGCAGCTGCATTTGATTTTGGTGGTAAACATAGTTATTTAGGCAATAAGAATGTAACTCAGATGTGAATGGAATTAACTCAAGATAGATGATTATCATTAAGCCTTATTATGCACAGTTAAGTAAAATACATATACTGTTGTATTTTGTAAACAAAAATATATCAGAGAAAAGCCCACTGCTCTCTTTAGACATTACCAGGTAGTCAGTGTAAGCCCTAATTCGTCCATAGCTTTGTAGGGACCAAAGCTGCTTTTTAAAAAAATTTCATCATATTATGGGGGTACAGATATTGTTAAAGTTACATATATTGCCCTTGCCATCCCCCACACCCACCCCCACCCACCCCCTCAGGTCAGAAGTTCAAGCATGTCCATCCTCCAGGTGGTGCGCATCGCACTCATTATGTAAGTACACCCCCACTCCCTCGTCCCCCCTCCCACCTGCCTGACACCCGATAAAAGTTGGAGGTTTTTTTTGACATTTTGGTTACATTTTATATCTTTGCCTCTCCCTAGGAAGGGTTAGAGGTATGCCCTTCCCCTCCACAATGCTCACCACATCCCTAAGATGTGGGTCTACCTCCCCCCAGTCCCTGGTGAACACTACCACCATTTGAGCATTGTAGTTTTAGTCAGTACCAATTTGATGGCAAGTACATGTGGTGCCCATTTTCCTGATCTTGTGTGGCCTCACTTTGGATAATGGGCTTAAGCTTAATCCTGGATAGTATAAGTGGTGCTAGCTCCCTGTCATTTCTTAGAATTGAGTAATATTCCATTGTGAACATATACCAAATTTTAATTATCCACTCATGAACTGACAGGCACTTGGGTTGTTTCCATGTCCTTACAATAGTGAATTGTGCTGCCATAAACACTCAGGTGCAGATGTCTTTATAATAGAATGTCTTATGCTCTTTTGGGTAGATGCCTAACAATGCTGTTGCTGGGTTGAATGGTATTTCTATTTCTAGCTGCCAAAACTGCTTTAATAAATTATTCTGGTGTCAGCTTTAGAAAATGGACACATGCTAACTAAACTTACTTAAGATGGATTTGTACATGAGAATGCCAGTTAAGTTCAATCAGAAGATGAATTAGAAATTTATAGTGAATGTATGGCTATTTCAAAAGGAACTAATGATTCTTAAGGAATATTTCCATAAACTTGGTGTAACTGGAAGCATCAAATGCCCTTCTTTATAGTGCTTAATTAGAAACTAATTATGATTCATAAAATTCTGATTCTGAATTTTTTCCTTTTTCAGCTTTCATATAATCTATCACCATATTACAATGCAACTGGATAGGTCATAGCTTCTTATTATATTAGTTACATTCCATTCTTATTTTTGACCAGCAGTTTACTTCATTGAATTTAGGAAATGCTTTGACTTGAATAGCAATTTTCATTTTTTTAAGAACCTAATAGAGTGCTCTGCTAGTAAACATGGTTTTATTGTGCCTGCCAAAAGATGAGAACATTTTGCGAAGTTCTTTTTATATGTATAACTCTAACACATACACTGTTGACTGAAGATGGAATATTGGCAAAATAAGGGAAAACTGTTTATATTAGGTCATTAAATATGAAATGTCCAATTTCGAATCAAAAGTGTATTATATCTCAAACAAGAAGCAGTACAGTTAATCAAAGTATGAGCCTAAATTATCAACACAGTTTTGCCATCTAAACAGTAACTGTTTATGCCAGTAGCAAAGAAGCCTGGAGAGCAAGTGACGATGACCCAGCAAAAGGCATTTTCCACAGTTTGTTGAGAATTCAATCTTTTTCCTTGCAAGAAGTGTTCCAAAGCCGAGAAGAAATGGTAGTCATTGTGAGGTCTAGTGAATATGATGGATGACAGTTTCCAAGTCCAGCCTCTGTAGTATGAGCAGTGTTGTTTGTGTGACATGTGGTGGAGCATTGTCCTGCGAGAGAATTGGCCTACTTCTATTAACCAATCTCAGCTGCTTAATCACATCCCCATCATTTTGTACAGTTGGTTGCAGTAGATATCCACTATAATCGATTGACCAGGTTTCATGAAGCTGTAGTGGATAATACCAGCACTCCACCAACAGACACCATTAGATTTTTTTGATGAATGTTTGGTTTTGGACTGTGTTTCAGAACTTCATCTTTATCCAACCATTGTGCTGATCGCTTGCAATTGTCAAAAAGAATCTATCTTTCATCACACATAACAGGGTGTAGAAATAGTTCACCTTTATGTTGTGACAGGAAAGAAAGGCAAGCTTGGAGACAATTTCTCTTCTGACGCTCATTTAATTTATGCATAACCCATCTATCCAGCTTCTTTACTTTACTTTGATTTGTTTCAGATGGTCCAATATTGTTGGAATAGTAACATCAAACCTCGCTGCTAATTCACACATAGGTTGAGAAATGGATTCGCTTCCACTACAGCTTTCAGCTCACCATTATCCACGTTGGTGTCAGGTCACCCATGTGGCTCATTTTCAAGATTAAAATCCCAGAATGGAACTTCTCAAACCATGATGTACTGTGTGCTCATTAGCCACAACCTTCCCCAAACATTCAATTGATATTCTGAGCTGTCTGCGCTGCATTCACTCCATGACAGAACTCATATTTGAAAATAACAGGAATTTTTGACTTATCCGTGATTTTACAAAAACTGCTCTAAAAAAAAACTTTGAAAGATAATCATAAGCCAAACCATGCCTTTGAAAGACTAAGGATGTACTTTCACAATAAAAACAAGAAGTGTCAAAGTGAAATGTCAGAGATATCAACTGTCAAACTTAATACTTAAGGAAATCGGACATTTCATACTTAATAACCTAATAAATTTATAAGAATCTTAATTGTAGTTCTTGGGTAAAGGAATATAATGAAGACTCCAGTGGCTTCTTATGAACAATTTTTCAAGAAAAAGTGACTACAGCCCTTGCTAGGAAACTGTAAGTATATATTCAGCATATTGAAGAGTCGTTATCTTTATTGACATCTCTATGTAAACAAATGTAGATGGAGAGTTGGTGAGAGAAGAACAAACACGGATGAGTCTACTGAGTGTACCTTGTATGCAACTCAGATTTGGTTGTAACATAATAAATCCTACCTTCCTCAAAATATTTAAATTTGCCTTATCTTTCTTCAGGTGTGCTCATCTTTTGCTACAGGCCCCAGACAAAATGATGGAATATTCTATGAATTTCGTACCTATTATTTTAAACCCTCAAAGATGAATGAGTTCCTGGAAAATTTTAAGAAAAATGTTCATCTTCGGACAGCTCACTCTGAATTGGTTGGATATTGGAGTGTAGAATTTGGAGGCAGAATGAATAAAGTGTTTCAGATTTGGAAGTATGGTATGAGTCATCCAGCTTAAGTGTTCAGTAAAGATTTTTCATTCTGTTAGATATTACGTGAGACTTAGTTCTTGGATCTATATTTCTGTGGATACATACAAGTCATTAATGAGTAAAACTTTTAGAAAGCAATACCTAAAAAGTAAATTCAATGATTACTTTTCCCAGTGGTACACCTCTAATAACTTCTTGCTTAAATTCTTGACATTTTTATAAATTGGAGAGTGTGGAGTCTCACATATAAAATCATAAAATTGTGAACTAGACTTTCATTCTCAGAAAAATTTTAGAATGGTTATATAGCTTATGAAAAATGTAAAAGCAGTGATTGTAAAGTCCAGGTTGGTTAAGATCGCAAATGGAAAAGAGAAATATCTTTTATTATTATTAAAGCTACTGCTGGATATCAGGGATTTTTGTTTTGTTTTCTTGAGACAGAGTCTTGCTCTGTCACCCAGGCTGTCACTCAGTGCAGTGGCATCATCATAGTTCACTGCAACCTCAAACTCCTGGACTCAAGTGATCTTGCTGCCTCATCCTCCCAAGTAGCTGGGACTACAGGCACATGCCCCCACACCCAGCTAATTTGTCTATTTTTACTCGAGATGGGTCTAACTCTTGCTCAGGCTGGTCTCCAACTCCTGGCCTCAAGCAGTCCTCCCACCTCGGCCTCCCAGAATGCTGGGATTACAGGTGTGAGCCACCATGCCCAGCCTGGGATATCAGTATGTTAATAGGAAAAATTAAACATTTAGGAGCTTTAGGAAAATGGAGGTTCATAGGGGATAATGGTTAACTTTTAAGCCTCACCTAACTCAGATTTAATAATTGTTATGTTTAGACACCACTTTTGTGTCATTTTTATACCCCACAGTTTCAAGGAATTCATTATCATATTGCTCTAGGTAGGCAAAGGAAAATGAATCAGAGCGCGTTCTTCCCATTTTGAAGCTGACCTATTCCTAGGTTTAGAAGAGGAAGGAGGACAAGTTACAAGAATCTCCAGAATGTTTGTAACTCCTGTGTCCACATAAGGACTTGATGATATCCAAAGAACTCTTAATAATTTCATTTAATGTTTGCTTTAGAGTTTTGCCCTATTGTAATAGAACAAGCCCCATTAAAACACAATTCATGTTTTAAATGTGGTACAAGTTGAATCATAGCCTATTATAAAACTAATAAAGTCCTGATATACCTCACTTAAATTGTACAATAAGTGTCATTCCTTGTCCCCAACAGAAACCATATAAAATTCTTTTACCATTAGTCTTGTGAGGTCCTAACAGTAAAAAAAGCACTGGGCCCATACATTGGTAAATGTATTAATATATACCTGTTTGGGTAAATTAGAAGAGAAATAAGTTGTAAAGAAAATGAATGAGTGACAGTAAGTAAGAGAATCAGTACTATTTCTTGGAAAGCTATTTGTTTAAAGAAGACGCTTTAAAAGTACATTTTAATTTCACTTGTATTAAATTTGATTCAAGGTGTGCCTTGACCTGTACCACCAGTACCACCACCTCCAAAGAAAAATAGTCTTTCTCTACACTAGCACTATAAATTAAATGCCTCAATTACATTAATAAGAATAGTCCATATATACTAAGTACTAACTAGATGCCAAACACTATTCTAAGCTCTTTCCATGTATTAATTCATTTAATCCTCATAACAACCCTGGAGGTAGATGTATTATCTCCATTCCACAGAAACTGAGGCACAGAACGATTCAATAACGTACTTTCTCACACAACTGCCTAAATAGTAGAGCCTAGAAAGCCTAGTATATTATGATTATTTGTCTGCATTTCTATTTCCCTTTTAGATCATCAGCACCTTGAGGGCAGACGTTACTTCTATTTATGTTGGTGTCTCCAAAGGCATAACAGTGTTCCCATATGGCACTAGTGAACATTTACTGATTTGAATGAAATCCAAATAGTATGGGTGATTTTAAGTTTAAAATTTTTATTTTTCTTACTTCTCCCATAGATAATTTTGCTCATCGAACTAAAGTTCGGCAAGCCTTGGCCAAAGATAAGAAATGGCAAGAACAATTCCTTATTCCAAATTTGGCTCTCATTGATAAACAAGAGAGTGAGATTACTTATCTGGTACCATGGAGCAAATTAGAAAAGCCTTCAAAACAAGGTAAGTCCTTCCTTTTTAGTCACTTTGAGTTTTAATGAATAAAATACTAAAGAGCTTAAGCAATAAAAACTAATAAAGTTCCACTAGAAAAAAATAAGGTTTATTCTTTGTTTTATATAGGAATATAGAATGATTATTGAAATAAAAATAAATTGGAGCTCTTAGCTAATCCTTAAAGAAATGAGCATTAGATAATTATTTTTCCAAATTGAGGTCTTACATATTCATAAAGCTTAGCTGTGTTACCAAAAACGTTGACACAGGAGAGGTTGAGAAGTTGTACATTGGGAATAGGGAACATGTGTGGGTTAAGTAAGGGATAATGTATGAAATTTTATCATAATTTTAAACTTTTAAATATAAAAGCATTTTCCACAAATTATAAATAATCTTAAATCATTAAGTACATCTTTGATTATAAAATTGAGGGAAACAGTTATTTCTCAGTTTAAAAATAAGATTTATCTTCTTGCTATTTTCACTTCTTGCTGACTTAAGCTATTATCTGAAACCAGTTTTAAACAAAAGTCAGATTAGAAAAACATAAGCTAATTTAAATTTTATTTCTCCCATTATTCCCAACTTTATAGTGTGTTTTAGATTATAAGAAATTTGAAAATTCTTATTTGGATCCTTATCCATTTAGATCTCCCCTTAGCACTGTCTAAATAAATTATAGTTTGCTTCTTGGACAGTGTCAAATCTTGGTTCTCTTCCTCTGTGTTGTTCATGATTTCCGGGTAACTTTTGCATGGTTTTCCTTTACTTCTCAAATCTACTTGTCCCCTAGTTTTTTTGTGTGTGTTTTTTTTTCTCTCCACTGGCCCTATAGTTCTGTCCAGAGGGTAAAATACTTTTCAAGCATTGACCTGGATATTTAGGAAAAATAAAACCATCTCTTTACATTTATTTTTTTTTTCCACTAAAATTCAGAAATATTACTCGAGGTCCATTGTTTGCTTTGTTGTTCCTGTTAGAAATGGAAATTTATAGGAGTAAATTATATAAAGAAAAAATTGAAAAAAAGAATGAAAATGTAGGAGATTGGAACCTTAAACATGGGTAAGGACTTTCTTTGCCCAAAAGCAAAGAAAAAGAATGCAAATAAATATGTCTGCACAACATGTATACATGTATGATCCTCCAAATCTGTATATATAGATAAGCCTTCTATTGACAAATATGATTAGAAATGGCTTGAATGCCTTCTGTAAAATAATTCTTTTTCTTCCTATTCTAGGAGTCTATGAACTGGCTACTTTTCATATGAAACCTGGTGGGCCAGCTCTGTGGGGTGAAGCATTTAAAAGGGCTGTTCACACTCATGTTAATCTAGGCTACATAAAACTAGTTGGTGTTTTCCACACAGAATATGGAGAACTTAATAGAGGTATAGTTTTTCCATTTCTTTTATGAAATTGTGATGTATATTGGTGACTTAATAAGTTCCTTGGGTGAGTTTGTCTTTCTCATTTAGAATATGTTTTATTAATTGCCAAATATTTAGTTTTATTTATAATTTTGAGGGTTGAGAAAACCCGTTATATATCTTATTTAGAATTTTAACACCTTATGCAGCCTTTTTTAAATGCTAAATTACTGTTTTCCCTAATATATCAAAATGATTAAATTTTAAAAACTAAAGGAACCTCAAGAAACAATCTATTCCTTTCATCATCTTTTTTTTCCCACTAAGTGTACTTTCATTGATTTTTTTAAATAGCATTACTTGGGGTAGGGAGATTATTTGACTAAAACAAATAATATATATTTTTTATAAATATTAAAGACCCCCTCATAAAAATTTACCCATGTTCTATTACTTAGAAAGATATATAGTATATATATGTATATATACTATGGTAAATTTACATATATAAATTTAATAAAATATATTTGGAGTATTTAATTTTATTTATTTTGTGAAGGGTATTTAACTTTTAAAGTTGTAAGATATTATGATCAGAATTAAGGTGTTTTTGTGAAAAATTCTGAAAAACACTGTGAAGTTTATCTGAAAGAATAAGTGACTAAGACTAGCTAATAAATACTTGGAAGACTCATAATATCCAGTTGCCCTCTTATCGTCTCCACTTCATATCCAACAGACATCTCAAACCTAATATACCCAAGGTTAAGCCCCTGATCTTTATGCAGAAATTCAGCTTCTAGTAATATATAAGAAAATAGGATATACAAATGTATGTTTAAATGGGAAAATGCATGGAGGAAAAACATTATGAAAATTACTAGATGCCTATCTCATACCCTATGCTAAATAAAATAAAATCAAGATGGATTGTAGATTTCAGTGAAAACAATTTAATTCATAGAATTGCTAAAACAAAAGCTTAATCTATTTAGTAATATGAATTGGAACTAGATTTCTAAGCCAAAAAGCAAATGAAGAAACTATGAAGGGGGAGGAATCAACTGATGATTTTATTATACAACGGCTCAAACTTTCTGCATGCCCTAAATCACCATAAATGAAATACAAAAGCAAAAAGAAAGATTTAAAAGTAGATACAGGCTGGGTGCGATGGCTCACGCCTTAATCCTAGCACTCTGGGAGGCCGAGGTGGGCAGATCGTTTGAGTTCAGGAGTTCAAAACCAACTTGAGCAAGAGCGAGACCCTGTCTCTACTATAAATAGAAATAAATTAATTGGCCAACTAATATATATAGAAAAAATTAGCCGGGCATGGTGGCACATGCCTGTAGTCCCAGCTACTTAGGAGGCTGAGGCAGGAGGATTGCTTGAGCCTAGGAGTTTGAGATTGCTATGAGCTAGGCTGATGCCATAGCACTCACTCTAGCCTGGGCAACAAAGTGAGACCCCCCCCCAAAAAAAAACACCAAAAAAAAAAAAAAAAACACATTAAAAGTAGATACAGATGGCTAAACACAGAAGATGCAGATTAAAAACGAAATGCCATTTTGTAACCTAATAAAGAACTCATATGGATATAGGATTATTAATAGATGTCAGGAAAAAATAAGTACTCATATACTGTGTAAGGTTCATATTAGCCTAATCTTTCCCCCCAAAATTTAGCAATATAAATAAAAAGCCTTAATTATTTTAATTGTCTTTGCCAGTATTATTTCTAGAAAATATGCATAGGTATATATGTGTGTAGGTATGTTTAGTTATACAGGAACAGAATTTAAAAGGATATAAAATATATAGTCATATTTGTATGAAGAGATTAATGGTTTTTTAAGTCTCTACATTTTTCTGTACTGAACATACATAACTTTTATAAGAAAAAACTACTTAAAATGTGTATACACACACTTTTGAATCTTAAATTCATTCTCAGTATGCTAGGAGAATTGGGAATATGCCAGCTATAAATCACTACATCATTTCTCTAGGACAATGTATAATACATGCACTATATATCTGTGTATACACATATACACACTTATGTATATATATGATATGCTGTTTGGTTCTCTCAATTTAAATAATTAGGAGTTGATATAAGGAAATAATCTGATATAGATTGCCTAGATTTGAATCCCAGTTCCACTACTTACTTTTTGATCATAGGTTAAGTGAACCTCACTCTGCCTTAGTTTCTTCATCCACTAAATGATGATAGTCATAACCTACCACCTAGATTATTATGAGGAATAAATGAGTTAATACATGAAAAATGCTTAAAACCAGGTCTGATACATAGTAATCACCCAATAAATGTTAGTAGTAGTTGTCATTGACATTGTTATTATAGATACACATGTAGGTGTGCTCAAATGAAATTTACGTCAACATTGTTTACATTAAGGAAATGTTTGAAACAATGTGGTTTGAACTTTTTTATGTAATACACATGTAATACAGAAATAGATATACATGTATATTATATATCATATATTAATAAGCATAAACATAAACATACATCAGAATACATACATATATATACAAATATGGCAAGAGATACACAAAATATAAGAATAGTTATTTCTGGGTGGTATAGGAATGATTCCTATTTTCTTTTTGTTTATCTGCATTTTCCTATATATTTAACACCTATTACATTGTAATTATTAAAAATTTATAAACAGTTATGTACAAAAACATTCTAGTATTTTAAATCTTTTTGATTCATTTTCCTATTATTTCTTATTCATTAATGCCGTATTTTTTGGAGTCTATTTGTGGTTTATTTCTGCAGTTCACGTTCTTTGGTGGAGCGAGAGTGCGGACAGTCGAGCAGCTGGGAGACATCTGTCCCATGAGGATCCCAGAGTTGTGGCAGCTGGTAAGCTATTTCACTAGGCATAGATTATTTTCAGAACAAATTTGATTCAGTTAATAACTCTGTATGCCTTCTTATGAACCTTTTTTCCAGTTCGGGAAAGTGTTAACTTCCTAGAATCTCAGCAGAATATGCTTCTGATTCCTACATCATTTTCACCATTGAAATAGTTTTCTACTGAAATACGAAACATTTCATTAACTGCTATCAGATGTGTTCTACTAATGGTGCTTAAATTCTCCCAAGAAGGTCTCATTTTTATTTGAAGGAAGTGGTATGTTGATATACTATGTCCCTTGCATTTTTGAAAGCTGTATGTGTCCTTTGTCACCTCCACTTCAGGAAATAGTTCTGTTCACTTTCCCCATGGCATTTTCATATCTGTCATACATTAAAAATATTTGTCACTACTTCAAGATCTTGACTCATTTATTTCAGAATATTTCTTCTCTTTTGACAACCCTTTGCTTCATAGCATTTTCTTGTATTCAAATAATGTTAAATTTTCATGCTTGTGATAATATTTTTAAATTATTAATATGTATTATCAACCTTTCAATATATCTGTTTTATTAAGATTTTGTACAGTAAAATTTATTTTGTAATACCAAATGAGATTCATGAAAATATTAAATATTTCTTTGCTATGGAAAAGTACATTATCATTTGTGTCATCTATATTAACTGTGGTTTTCACATTAGTTATTAGTCACTTATTTGGAAAATAATGGTATGTACTGGTATTAAAACCTCTGAAGACTCGTTTGCTTATGTGCTGAAATGTCAGCCAGCCATAGAGGGTCTCATGGCTAAAGTAGCACTCACCAGATTGGTTTTCCCTCCATATATTGGGTCCTGAAGCCAGGAAGGTGTCTTTGGTGAGGGTGTTGGAAAGTTCCTGGTGCCAATGTCCTTAGAAGCATCATCACTGGGGGTATATGAGAATCAGCAAGCTCAGTAATATATTCAAACCAGGAATTGGGAGGTTGAAAATTTTTTCTAAATAAAACACTTTATTAAAACACTTCCTGTATGTGCCGGGCTCTCAAAACCAAAATGAGTGGAACACAGAAACTACCCACAAGGCACTCAGACTCTGGCCATATATTTGGCATCAAGCTTCCTTTAACTTTTATATCACTGACATGCTTCCCCTATATATAACTCCATAAATCCTACAGGACTAAAGAAAACTCTTGCCTAACAAGATCCCGAAATCCCTGTGTCCCTATGTTTAAAGAACTGGATTGTTACAGAGTAGGAGTTACTTTAATCTAAAAAATAAAGACTAGCTAATATCCACAACTCAACAGATATAATTATAAGAATTATACTCTGTAGAAAATAAGAACATGAAGGTTCTATGCTTTGACAATGTATGGGAGCCCTGTGACTGAATTATAAAACTAGGCCAGGCGCGGTGGCTCACGCCTATAATCCTAGCACTCTGGGATGCTGAGGCAGGTGGATCCTTTGACCTCGGGAGGTCAAGACTAGCCTGAGCAAGAGCAAGACCCCATCTCTACTAAAAAAATAGAAATTAGCTGGACAACTAAAAATATATAGAAAAAATTAGCCGGGCATGGTGGTGCATGCTTGTAGTCCCAGCTACTCAGGAGACTGAGATTGGAGGATGGCTTAAGCCCAGGAGTTTGAGCTTGCTGTGAGCTAGGCTAATACCACAGCACTCATTCTAACCAGGGCAACAGAGTTAGACTGTCTCAAAAAATTAAAATAAAATAAAATGATAAATAAAAATAAAAACATAGCTCTAAAAATCCAAATATTTTATAACTTAATCATATAATTTAGCAAGGGCAGATCATTTTACCTAAAACACATATGGCTGTCCCTCACAACAACAGTATAAAGAGGAAAGGAGCTGAAATGCACAACAGAGGACTGGCCTAGTTCAGGATTAGTTCACCGATGTTCTCTGCATGCAGTATTAGTTTGCATAAGGACCTTAGCCACAGCTGATAAAATCTATTCCACTGTACAATTCTTGAGTTCTCAGGAATCATTGGCTCTCAGCATAGTAAACACCCTTGGTATGCTTCAACCCTCCTCTCTCCTAGGGCATGGAAGACAAGCACATACCTGAAAATATATACTGCTGGTTGTTACAGAGTAAAATCCACAGCTGAAGTTCCAAGCTTGGGTACTTGCCAAAGGGTGGCACAATCAGACTGAATACCAGGGCAATGCAGACAAACAAATGGCAGGACAGTCTATAACCAGGCAGTGATAGGAGAAAGAGATAGTAGAAATATAGCAAGTGTTAGAAAGAAAGCCAAGGGGCACATCCCAGTGAATTCCGCCAACCTCCCAGACCACCCAGCACAGGAATGAGAAATACAGGGCCCATAGCCGAGCTCTACCAATGCATTCTTGGCAGCTGGGAATTAATGGAGCCTGAGAACTAAACCTCTTCCATGACAGCATGATGGCAGAGGCTATGGCCACCTGGCAGAGGCACTAAGCTGGGCATTTCACAGAGTAAACAGTGATCACTTGTCAGGGTGACACAGAACGTTGGTTCCTGCTTCTTCCTCCTGAAGACTGAGACAATGACCCCCCCAGCTTGGCTCAGAGGAAGGCTGAGAGAATAAGGCCTGGACTATGAGCTAGAAAATCCCATTCCTGGTTCTGACTCTACTACCCTTGTGAAGTCACTTCCCCCTCTGGCCTGTTTTCTCATTTGTAATATGTTGACTGAGAATAGATAACCCACTCAGATCCCATACTCTGATAAAACCAACTCCACAGCAATGGCTCCAATCAGAGGCAACTGCAGCTGTTTTTTCCCATGACCACCTCAAAAAGTATAATTATCTTTCCTGAACTTCCTCAAACTTTCTTTCTCCCCATACCTACTCTGAAATAATGACTTGTGCATACTTTATAAGTAAACCCCAAATTCCTTCCTTCCATTTATTACTGAGAAATTATATTTTAAGAATTTAAAGATTCAAATGATATCCCTGGTTCTAAGTATTCTGCAGATTCAATGCAGAAAATTATCATTGAATGAATAATTCTATGAGATAATACTATAATGAAAATTATCTCTTTTTTACCATTCGTACTCTAAGTGGTAATATCATTTTTAGCCATCAACAAAGGTGACTGATGATCAGAGACACTAAATGACTTGCCCAATGTCACATAGTTAATAAGTATCAGAACTAGAATTTAAATCCAGGTCTATACACTCCAAACTCAGGCATTTTGCATATGCCACACAGTCTAAGACCCTTTTTCTATACTTCTTAATTTTATAGAGTGAAATATTTTTATCCCTCCTAACCAAGCAAGTTAGCATGCAAACACTAACTTGCAGGCAATAGTGTAATGAGTTTTCTTTGTCAGCCAATTATATTCTGATCTCCCTGGCTACCTTTTCTATCAGTTTACAAATAAACATCAGTTTAGAGAAAAATCGGTTTTCCAATAAGTTCATATGTTACGTACATCTGTCATAACCCCTCTCATGTTATGAAAGTTAAAAATAAAGCAAGTATTAATGTTAGTCCCCATGCTAAGCACTTACTCATTCTTATTGTCATGATAACCCTATGACATAGGTAGTATTGCTATTCTCATTTTGAAGTAAGGAGATTGAGGCACACAGAAGCAACCTGCCAGCAAATACATGAATGGCAAGAAGCAGAACTGGAATTGAATACATATAATCTGGCTCCAGCATCCGTATCATGACCACAATGTTATCTTCACTGGTCAGAAAGCCTGAAGGTCACCCATGAGGGTAGAGTCCCTGGCCTGGAACAGCACATCTCACCTGAGCAAAAAAATCCTTCCTAACTCCTTCTGGCACTCAGCAACCTCTTCCACAAAAGGGCTGCACACCTGTGTGTGAGTTCAGCCTTTCACATGATAGGAGCTGTTTATCCTGCTGGGCACGTCTGTCTCTATGGATTCTGTGAGAAGCCAACACTGAGGGTCACCTGTCATCTTAGGTATTTTTGACATCAACATGTTCCTCCCTCCAGCATCTTCATCACACCTTCCAATTAATAAGAAAAAAAATGAATACAATCAAAAATTGGGCAAAGACAGTAAACCAGGAGCTTAAAAAATGAAAATGATATGGCTTATAAAATTATAAAAAAAATGTTCCCTTTACAAAAAGTCAGAGAAATGTAATTTAAATCAAGATATTTCTCACCTATAAGGAAATAATAAAGTTTTACAGTATAAAAATTGACAAGAGTATGGAGAAAGGAAATTCCATTCACTGCTGGTAGATCTAGTGAAGTTGACTCAGTAATTCCACTTACAGGTGTGTGCAAGCAGATATGTACAAAGTTACTCACTGAAGCATTATTTATAAAATAAACATATAGAAACACTTAAATATCAATGGAGAAGGAACAAACAATTTATGACATACTCTTTTTTTACAGAGTAAGTAAAATGAATGAACCACTTCTACCTACTTTGTTACTTCTGGCAAGTACGTAGCCTCTTTGAATGTTGTTTCCTGTTTTTGTTTTAATCTGTAAAATGGAAATATCAGCTTCACAAAGTGAAATGAGAGTAAAAAAAGGATAAAATAAAAAGTATAATATACATATAGCACATACCTGATAAAAGACATATTGGAATGTGATAATTTCTTGTCTGTGAAACAGGTATCACATTGTCTTAGAGAAAGATATAGGAATGGGATATATGATTTGAGAATAACAGATGTTTATTTAAACTGTTAAAAATGATAGGGACAGCTAAGTAGAAAGAGGAAAGAAATAAATAAGGGTCTGAGTAAAGCTCTCATTTGTAAAGTAATCCTAAAACAAAGACACTAATAACTTGGATTGACCAACAGGCCCCATTCCAAGAAACGTAGTGACTCAGAAGCAACTGTTTTTCAATGAAAAACTATTATGAAATAGGAATTGTACTGAAGCAGCCTCTAAAGTTATGATTTTCACTAACTTTCATTTCAGTTTTTATTTTAAGTGGGAGGATCTACAAATGATTTCAGAGGAGAAGGAAAACCAGGTACTGTATTTTTTAATATATGATTTTTTACAAAAGTATGAGGAAAATAACTTTTAAAATGAAGCCTATTTCTAAGTAACACTAATAAGCTATATTGAAAAGTTAACTTACAATGTTTTTCAGAGGGAATTTTAATCTGTATAGTTCTGTGTACCCATAAACTATGTCTATCAACCTTCATAAAAGAGTGACATTTGAATTAATAAAGTATATTTGGGAAAATCCTAGGCAGTACCCTAAAGGACCTAATAAGGGGCAAAGGAGATAACAGGCCCCTCTTTTTTTAGACACAGGCTACATGTCCCTTGCATTAATGCTCCAAGCCCTGAATATACTATTGAGAATAAATGAAAGATAACAAATTATAAAGATTCTGTAAAAGCAATCAATGAGGGCCAAGTAAAGCTAAAACAGGTTAAGAAGTTAATTCCTCAGCTAACAGGGACAACTTATGGAGGTGAAGAGAAATACACATGAGAGCATTGGATAATGGGTGTTCATTTGAAAGAGAACCTCATGAAAAAAAGGTCACAAAGTACATAAATGCATAAAGCTATAAGGTGTCTCAGTTTATACCAAGGAGAGAAACCAGCCATATTTAATAAAGAAAATCTAAAATAAATAGCAAAAAGTCCAGAAATACTTTCCCCATAACATTTCTCTCCCAAATGGGAAGCACAGGGATTATTCAAAGACATAGACTTTCAAAGCTCATTTCAGGAAGTAACTGCATTTATTAATGACATGTTTTTAAATGTCATTGGCACTAAAATTCACTTTTTAATTCAAAACCTAAAGTAAGCCAATTCATTTATTATATCTAAAAAGGATGTAATGGATATATAATAAACTTTCATGTTTGTGTTTTAGTAATAATAGTTTCTTTTATTAATAAAAATAACAGTAAATAAAGTTGTGCCATATTTAAATATTGAGCTATTCATAAATCTTTGCTACTATTGATTCTAACAAGGATAGCAACATAAACATACACAGAAATTCAAGGCAAGTTTAAGAAGAGGGATGCAGTGGTTGTTTCTTTCCCTAAAGCATTTAATTCAATGTTCAATGCACACCAGGTGCTTAACACATACTCAGTAATATAAGAAGTTCTCTTTTTAAGAAAAACTGAAAGCTGATTTTGATTTTTATTACCAGTTACTTAATATAACCATAATAGAGCAACCCACAAACATTATAGTAGTAACTCGCCTTTACTGAACTTTTTTCTCCAATACATAGTCCATTATCACAAAACAAACCCAAAACTGTAAGTGAAGTTAACACCACTCTAAATACCTATTGCTTAAATTACAAGAACTCAAATAATAAAAAGACATATGCAGATGCCCCATGAAGGAAAAGCTAGTCTATGCCACCATCTAGTGGCCACAGAATGTAGCACTAGAAAAAGAAAGTGCTTAGCCAGGGATGTAATACCAGAATACAAACATCTAGAGTTTGCATGTACAGCAGCTGCCCTTCTTCTCATAGGCCAGCATAGGATCCACTTCTCCTCTTCCTTCTGCACTATTGCTTGAACTGACCTTTGGACAAAACCGAGCAGGAACACCATCAAGTAGATGATTCCCTTCTTCACTCATCAGATCAGACAAACAATAATGAAAAATTAGTAAAGAAAACCTCATACACTGCTATTAAGAGTATAAATTTCTGTAGAACAGTTTGGCACTATTTAATGAAAGTGAGTATATATATGTATGCATATATATATATACACTCATTTATATACTCATATATATACTAATATAATACTCATATATATACACATATATACATATATATATATATAATTTATGACCCAACAATTCCATTCCTGGGTATATACTCTAAAGTACTGGTTTGATCTTGAGGGACTCTATGGTTAGAATTCAGAAGGTCTGGTAACTTGGATGAGTAAAATTTATATCATTATTAGCACCAACTTCTAACTGAAATTAAGCATTTCCTTTGTTTATGAAGGTAGGTAACAAACCACAATATTATTAAGCAGGACCTGTGATTTTTTAGCAAATAAAAATCATAGATATTGTCAAATTTCATTTTTAGTTGTTAAAAATACATCAAAATTTCTTTTACCTTGATAACTACTTCAAAATTATTATACTCTTACACCTACCATTAGATTGTTATTTAATACCTTGTAAAGAAGTATGTCTATTTCTCTGCCAAGAATTTGCTTTTAGTAATCCTGAGCAAAAATAACAAAGCTGAAGGCATCATGCTAGACTTCAAAATACACTATAAAGCTATAGTAACCAAAGCAACATAGTACTGGCATAAAAACAGAAACAAACCAATGGAACATAACAGAAAACCCAGAAATTAATTGCTGTATCTACAGCCAACTGATTTTTGACAAAGGCACAAGAACATACAGAGAGGGTCAGTCTCTTCAATAAATGATGCTGGGAAAACTGGATATCCACATGCAGAAAAATGAAAATAGACCCTGTAACCTTATACAAAAATCAATTCAAAATGGATCTAAGACCTAATTGTAATACCTGACACTATAAAACAACTATAAGAAAACATAAGGGAAACACCTCAGGACATTGGTCTGGGGAAAGTTTTTATGAATAAGGCCTCAAAAAGCACAGGCAATAAAAGCAAAAATAAACAAATGGAATTATATAAACTAAAATCTTCTGCACAACAAAGGAAACAATCAACAGAGGGAAGACAACCTACAGAAAGGGAGAAGATATTTACAAACTATTCATCCTACAGGGATTAATATCCAGAATATACAAGAAATTCAAACATCTTAACAGCAAAAAAAAAAAAAGATTAAAAAATGGGAAAATGGGCTGGGCATGGTGGCTCACACCTGTAACCCTCGCACTCTGGGAGGCTGAGAAAGGTGGATCATTTGAGCTCAGGAGTTGGAGACCAGTATGAGCAAGAACGAGACCCGTCTCTACTAAAAAATAGAAAGAAATTAGCTGGGCATGGTGATACATGCCTATAGTCCCAGCTACTCCAGAGGCTGAGACAGAAGGATCACTTGAGCCCAGGAGTTTGAGGTTGCTGTGAGGTAGGCTGACACCATGGCACTCTAGCCCGGGCAACAGAGTGAGACTCTGTCTTAAAAAAAAAAAAAAAGCCAATGATCTGAACATACAATTCTCAAAAGAAGACATACAGATAACCAACAAACATTAATATATGAAAAATATTCAGCAACACTGATCATCAGAGAAATGCAAATCAAGACCACAATGAGGTATCATCTCATTCTAGTTAGAATGGCTATTATCAAAAATATCAAAAAAAAAATATAACAAATACTGGCAAGGATGCAGAAAAGGGAGCTCTTATACACTGCTAGTGGGAATGTAAACTATTAAAGCCACTATGGAGAACAGAACAGTATGGAGGTTCCTCAGAAAACTACAGATAGAACTACCAAATGATCCAGCACTCCCATTACTAGGTATTTATCCAAAGGAAAGGAAATCACTATATTTAGAGACATCAACATCCCCATATTTATTGAAAGATTATTCACAAGAACCAAGGTATGGAATCCACCTAGGTGTCCGACAACAAATGAATGCATAAAGAAAATGTGGTATATGTACTCAAGCCATTACATCCATATTTCAGCAAGCAGAAATGAGGAAGGAAAAAAGGGAACAATCCCTCCTCTACCCATTTGAGATCAATTATAGGTCATTAAGGCACTGACACTTCCCACTTGCCAAGACTTAATTCAAGGCCACACCAAGCTACAAGAATTTTATTACTAATTTTTAAAAATGGAGGAGGTTGAGGTAGGCAAGAATAATGAGAAAAAGCTAGCAGTTTGCACAATATAGAATACATAGTATATATTCTACTATATTTTACTTCATAGTATTTATTAATTCCTGATACATTTTTTCTTTGTGTGTTCCCTCAGCCCGTATGTTCCAGAGGACAGGAACTCTGTCTTTTGTTCAATCCTGTATCCTGTACACCCGTCTCTGGAAAAGTGCCTGTAGCATAGAAAGAATTTAGTAAATATTAGTTCAATGAGTGAATAAATTATTAATTCCAGGGGAATCAAATAGTCTAAGAAAATATAGATCCAGTCCTGACCCAGTCTTACCTGGTTACAAATAGATATCCCTCAACTGGAAAAATTAAGTCATCTCTCTGGAATTATTAATTTTAAAAAGCCTTCCTTCCTCTGAATAGATGATTCAAAAGCCCTTCCACAAGTCACAACCAATACAACCACAGGTGATAGCCCTGTAATAATCCCCTAGTCCTAATTATGTAACCAATATTAATTAATGTGTGCAATGTAATTATTAGCAAAAATAAACATTAATATGATGTAGACTAATGTAAGTTAATGATGCAATCAATTATTTTTAATACAAACATTATTAGATTCTGGAAGAATTCTGAGGCATGGTATAAAAGAGACATAAATCCTCATCTTCTATAGAGGGAAGTCCATAGGTGCGTTCCATAACTGAAAAGTCTAGAAATAAAAAATGCTATTTAAAAATACTGAGCCGGGCGCGGTGGCTCACGCCTGTAATCCTAGCACTCTGGGAGGCCGAGGCAGGCAGATTGCTCGAGGTCAGGAGTTCGAAACCAGCCTGAGCAAGAGCGAGACCCCGTCTCTACTATAAATAGAAAGAAATTAATTGGCCAACTAATATATATAGAAAAAATTAGCCGGGCATGGTGGCGCATGCCTGTAGTCCCAGCCACTTGGGAGGCTGAGGCAGAAGGATTGCTTGAGCCCAGGAGTTTGAGGTTGCTGTGAGCTAGGCTGATGCCAAGGCACTCATTCTAGCCTAGGCAACAAAGCGAGACTCTGTCTCAAAAAAAAAAAAAAAAATACTGAAACAGGCATTAGAAGAAACAGCTTGAAATGCTGAAGGTAGTTACTCTGGGGACCAATACTCCGGGATTGGGAGGACTAGATCAGAAGTCTGCTTTTTTGCTTTTAAAGTTTACACAACTATCTAGTTTCAAATTTTGTATGTTTAATTTTGACTTTTGCATATCAGGCTCGGTGCTGTCATTCCTCTGAGCTCGTAGACAATTTCATCTAAATCTTGATTAGGAACCTTCGGAGGTCACGCTGGGATGGTAATGGGGACAGAAAATACACTCAATGCAGAAAAGAGAAGGCTCATTGGTCTACAGATAAATGTCCATCACATTGTAAAGCCTAACCCTGGCAAAACCCTCCACGATTTTAAATGCAAAGCATTACACAAGCACGCCTCCAGGCTCCATCCTTCCTTCCTAATGGAGAACCACAAGCACAATCCCTACACTTTTACTAATTCTGCACAACTGGGCATTGGAGCGTATGAGGTGGTGAGCCCAGAATGGGGTAGCTGGCCCCACTTCAGCATTCAGCTCATTCTAATGTCACCTCTGACACTGGGGCAAGAACGTTCGAGGAAACACAGAGGGACCCAGGTTCAGCGGCAAAGGCAGACACCAGGCTGGCTGACCCCACGCGACGCGCCTCCCGGTCAGGGGCGGAGTCCACCCCGCCGACCCCGCCCCAGCCTGAGTCAACCAGTTACCCAGTCGCCACTCGCTTCCAGTTGGGAAGCCTTAAAAGGAGAGTTTCAGGAGGGACGCGGCTGGCTGCCTTTCTTAGAGCTCGAAGCCGCGCCATGCTCGCCCTCAGGAGCGGCCTGACTAGGACGCTGGCCGCGCGGACGCTCGCGCCCCAGGTACGAGCCGCCGGGTCACACTCGACCCCTAGCCCCTGGGGAGGGGCGGGGCGCCTGCAGGCGACTCGAAAGTCCTGCGCATGCGTGTTCTCCCCCCACCCCCGCGCGCTCGCCCTGCGCATGCGCCCCGGCGTCGTACGCCCAGACCTGGGGCTCTGCGCGGCTTCGGGTTCCAGTGCGAATCCCTGAGGCCTGTTCCGGGCATGCTGGGACGCGCGTGAGGAGAAAAGCGCTGCCTACGCAAGGGTGTCCTGCCGAGGTCGCCTCCTGACCCACTCGCAGGCAGCCGCGGACAGAGGGATTTTCTGGCCTGGAAGCCAGACGGCCCCAAGGACACCCCGGAAGCGGTTTTGTAGCCCGGCGCCGTCGCGGCTGCCGCTCACGGGGCGCTAAGTTGCCGCCTGGCGACGTCAGGGCTCCTGTTGACTTGTGGCTTTACAGGCCACCGCCCCTTCCAGATTTTAGGTTCTAGTGGGGAGAGGCCAACCAGCCACTTGCAGTAGAACCAGCCTCCCCCTTTGAAACGAAATACAAAACTTGCCAGCATTTTCTGGAGAAACTTGAGGCGGCGGCCCAGGGTCCCGGTGGGTCTGGACCCCACCCGCTCACCAAAGGCTCCTGGCGGTCTGTCCCCAAACCAGGCAGGGTCCGTACCCCTGGAGCCAACATAAGCTCTTAACCTTTGATGAGAAATGTACAAAACGGAGTTTGATTCAGCCTTACCTGTCGCACGTTGGCCTATTCTGTGAATCAACCCCAAAGATTTCTTTTCCTTGCAGTGTTTAGGCCTTTACTCCTTTCTCAAGAGACAACATAGGAAGGGGGTTAACCTATTCCAGAGGCAGACATTCTGGTGAACACTAAAGAAAAGCCATTAGTGTCTGTTCACTCTAGATTAACAATGTAGTCTTTATACTTCTGAGTCTCAGGGAAGGAGCAAGGATTATTTCCGTACATTGTTATTATGAACTTTGAGATTTTTAAAAACGTCTACCAATTGTTCTCTTACAAGTTGAATTGGAAGTCGTTGCTGGTGAGAATGAGCCCCAACTTGGAGACAAGGGAGCCTGAAGCACTCATGATTTCTGTCCCAGCAGTTAATTTGTTGTGCAACAAAAATCTCAGCGCCCCCACCCAGCCACTCCTCTCTGCAGTTAACCTTTTCCTGAACTTCCTTATATTTCTTGAAAGATAATTAAAAATGTGTGCATTTGGCCACCTATTTGTGCTCTGAATGTTGTACATACCAGGATGAAATCACTTTGTCACACTCAGACAAAAATGGGGCTGGGAAGGAGGCTCAGGCTTACATGTCTAAGAAGTTTCTAAGGACTTTCTAAAAACCCAAGAAACCCTTTCACATCCTGCATGCGTCTCCTGCTTTCTTGAAGTTTATCACTAGACATTCTTTAGGACTGCAGTAGTTTGGATAAGATGCTCTTGAAAGAAGGCTTGCTCAATAATGACATCTCCACTAATGAACTGACAAGTCTGGTGTAGTGGCTGCTTTTCGCTCCTGAGCTCCATAGTGAAGGAATAAATAATCACTCAAAATACACAGTA